AATTTATAAATATATCAATTCATGTGAATATGACTGAAAATTTTAATTTTTTCTGAAAAGGTGGTGTCTATTTACTTGTGACCACGCTGTGTACATTTGCTGTTATGTTAAACTTATATTAAAGTTTTTCTCCATTACCAATTCAAGCCGTCTCCAAGCATTAAAACCATTGATAATTGGTTCATTGTTTTAAAGAGCAGGTTGCCGACTACTTCTTAAACAAATATTTAATTCAAAATTAACTGTAAATTATATGTAAGTTTCAGCAAACAGTTAGCGTTTAAGTGCTGTTGACTAGATGCTTTCCCTGCTCCATATCAGTTCAAAATTAGAGACAGGTAAGCGAATTTGTGTAACTACGCATGAAAAATCCTGAAACAAACAAACGAAAAGTAGATAAAATCAACGTAGTCGTTTTTTTTTTCAAGGTTATTAAAAACTATTAAATGTTTAGAAAACCAGGTAGCGCAACTAACAATTTAATATGTGGCACCTACAACTTCAAATGTTTTCATCCGCAAGTAACACAATTTAGTGGTATTTTCTGGTTATTTGCTTGACTTTGTAACTCATATTTTTAAAGTTTCGACAGACTTTAGAATTTTGAAATAGGCAATTTAAACGTTTATGTTTTATTTTGAAAATTTATCTCCCAAAATTTCTGGAACTACTTTTTGTTGAAATTTACAGTACTAGTCACCATGTTGGGTGGCACTGGTTGGTACGAAGTGGTAGATGTCGCTGGTTATAACACTTGGTTTGAACCATCGGAATAGTTTAATTGATCACAGAAAAAGAAGATATTAAAAATGACACAGATACTTCCAATTCGGTTTCAGGAGCATTTACAGGTAGAGTATACAATTATATGAAACTTATTACGGGTGAAATAAACTAATCACAATTGAAAATTAAGTATTATGTTTTGAAATATACAAGTTAATTTTGTTACAGAATATTTGCTGCATTGCAATGCAACTTGCAAGGTGCAATGACTGGTCAGTATCATTACAATTTACATTATTACTGAGTTAGGCTTAGAATTAAAGATACGCCCCCCTATTCTTAAAACTAAAAGTGTTCTTTATTAATTGTTAGTTTTGTTAATTAATTTAGTTAAGAACCTTAATAGTCGAAATACAAAAAATATAAGTGCGTTTTGTTTTCAAGTTACTTTTTATACCAATGTATTAGTTAATTATGAGTAAATTAAAAATGTAGATTTAGCCTAAATTCGTTTATAAATTTAATTTTGTTATGAATATGAGTATAAGTTATAACGCCTATGTGTGTAGTAATAGTAATACTATTACTAGTATAGTAATGTATCGTGGGTTAATTAAGATCTTAGAACTGCTATTACTGTACTACTGCTGGCACTAATAAAAGTAATATTACTAATAGTTTAGTAGATAGTCTATACTTATAATAGTACTATGTAATATAATATTTTGCCTATAATTTTAATTTCGAGGAATTACACATGGTTCTCTATGTTTTTCAAGTTATGGACCACAATTAACAATGTACTGAGGTTAAAAGTTTAGAGTAAGCCATTGTGCAGTGTCTGTTACTGTATTAGTATTACAATGTACAGCATAAGTTATCAGTATTAACTTTTAATCAGAGCAAATTGTGTATTGAGAGCGAAGCTAAAAACCAACCTGGCCATCAATAAAGCTAATTAAATATACTTTTCTTATGTTTCTGTTTATAAAGATTAGAATGTATAGTTTCATCAATTGAGTAGCCTGACTGTTAATGGTATTTTTGGCCATAATCCCACTAATATCTCATGAAGTTCAGCCATCTTAACTGAAGAGATTTAGGTTAGTCTTGAATACATATATATTAGGCTAATGATGCAAAACAACATCAAAATAAAACGTAGTGACATTTGATATACTAAAAAGTTTAAACAGTAGTAGAGGTGTAGGAAGCAAATTAAAAGTGGGGAGATCCAAAAACATATGGTTCTGTGTGGTAAAAGAAATCTTTTTTTTTTTAGCATTTTAACATTTAAAAATATGTTTAAGCACTTTGGCCATAATTTTCTTTATTGAACACTAACATAAAATACTCATGTTCCACTGTGGGATTCTAAGGCCCACTCATGATTCACAGAGGTCTCAATGTACCAGTGAAGTGTCTCTGTTATCTTAATTACTTCTATAGCTACCCCAATGTGCCAATTCCTTAATTGATTTCTCTGTTACGGTCATACACACACTTTTATTATTATAGATTTATGGTTTATGTAAAATAATTACTTCATTTTTTCTTTACCCTGGATTTAATGAATAAGTATAGAATATTTGAATTAGTTCAAGGTTTAATTTACTGATTACCAGTTTTAATTAATTTGGTGTATTATTGCCTTATTATGTACTTTATAATTACTTACAAATTCTTCTCATCTTCAAATTCAAACAGAAGAATAAAACTTTGAATTTATGATCGGTGCTACAGGAACTTAACAAATTGTTAAACTTAGATGTACGTGTAAACATATATCAGTATTATGTACAATTTTGTTGTATATGTAACATTATCTTAAGCATGGTTAAATATTATATTTCACATTATGGCATTAGAGTAGTAATAGATATCACATTAACTTGTTGGGAGGTGGTGCGAGAAATAAAAGGAAATCAAATTACCTAGTATTTGAAATAAGTATTGGACAGTACTTTTTCACTAGGGTAAAATATGTTAGGTGAAAATAAATTACAGAATTACTTGAGGTAATGCAACAAGTATGCTAGAGCAGTTGGGCAAACTATGGGAAACTTCATTCAAAAGTAGCTTAGATAAGGCATACAACCACGATTTATTTAAGGAAAGGGCTCACTTTCAATCCACCAATTTCTAAATGATAAGAGTTAACTAGAAAATGGTATATGTTAAAACTTTTAAAGAATTATGTAATTCATTATGAGATAGTTTTTTGAATGTTTGGATTATTTAAGTTAGTGTATGTATTTTTTTTTATAAGAAAACAACACAATTTTTATAATATATAAAAATTAATTTACTATATAAAAACAAACTGGAATCTGCTGTATGAAAGAATCATTACTTAAGTTAATATTGCTCTATCCTACAGGTTAGATTTGTGTGACAAAGATTGGTCACAGTTGAAAACTGAAATGACGATGTAAATGTCTCGTGTATATCATAATAGTCACTGAGCAAATAAAAGAATCTAATTGTTTGAAATTTGTTCAGTTATCGAAATATGTCTTTTTTTTCCTAGTATATAGTTTTTTTGCACAAATTCTGAAAGCTTATAACTAAGTCTTTCCCTTTGTTGTCTGCATGGCTTAGATTATACCATTAAAAGCAAAAACACAGACATTTAAAAATTAGGGCATAGAAGTACATGTAAAACTTTGAATTAAATGACTAGTTATTTGGAGAGTACATAGTTTATATTGTACTCTATCAAATTTTTGATTAAAATTTCTAAAGATCTTTCACCAAGATTGTTTAAATGTGAGAGAAAAATTTTGAAAAATCAAAATTCATTTCAAAGAGAAGATTGCCACAGAGAAATTAATTTTTTCCTAATATAAAACAGTATATCAATATCTTCTGACCATAGTTATCAGTTACATTTGTTCTTATTAACTGTACTCATGTTTAGAAAATAGATCCATCTTTACAAAACAGTATATCAATATCTTCTGACCATAGTTATCAGTTACATTTATTCTTATTAACTGTACTCATGTTTAGAAAATAGATCCATCTTTACAAAACAGTTCATTGTAATGCTTTAGTTATATTTGTATAATGCAAATGCTGTTATAAATTAATTGTAATACGACTATCGAGATGATGTATGTTTTATTGTTTGGCTGTTTTTTAGATTATCTGTTTGCACTCTGAGGCTAATGATGTATTATACAGGGTGTTCATAAAGTCTGGCATTAATGTGAACATATCTTATTTAAAGACATAGTTATGATATATATTCAAGATGGCAACCGCCAAGTTCAAAACATGTTTGTAAATGATACAGCATGATTGAGATATTGGATTTCTTTCTGGATGTTTGTTATTGAACTTCGCAGCTATTTCTCTGTGCGTGTCCATCCTTGACGTCCACACAACAGGATAATTTCAACGTGCTTTTGTAAGTTTAACGACATGATTATTATGTCTGGGCAACACAAACCTGCAACAAAAAGAATAAAACATAAAATTAATAAAAAAATGTTTCAAATAAATTAAGTTTACATTGAATCCAGACTTTATGGACACCCTGTAATGTAAAGAGGAAAACTTGTTTAAAATTGTATCATATTAATAAATTATTGAAATGTGCTTCATCTTTACTGGAACTAAATTCCTTTACACAAATTTTACGCTAAATAAATTTAAATAATTGCCCATAAAATCATAAAAGATTTTCTCAGTTTTAACTCAAAACATTTTTATTACAATAATTGTATGTTTGCATTTCTAATTTTGACGTTAAAACAGGTATTACACAAATATACAATAATTTAAGGACAACAAAGGATCTTTTGGTCTGGCTGTGGCATCCCCTGTACTAAACTTTATAAATTAAATAAAACACTCAAAGTTAGCCCTTATCATTCATATATTTAACAAGCTTTTCCTTAAACTCCCTTAAATTAACTGCTTTCAACACATCTGAAGGCAGCCATTTCAAAGGCCAACCACTGTATTAGAAAAATACAGCTTTATTAACTGAAGATGACTTCTTTCTTGCCAAAATTTATATATTTGTCCTCAAGACCTACATTTATCTCTATTCAGTACAAATAAAAAAGATAATTCATCAACACTATAAATTACCTTAACAAGCTCAGCCAGATCTCCTCAGATACGAGATATCGTTTATTAGATTTTCGCGATACATTATAATGACCTGGCTTGAAAACTAATAAATTGGTAAAATAGTTCATATATACAATATTAGGAAGAATGTTGATAGAAAATGTTCAGTATAATTATATTTTTAACCAATAGAAAATGTTCAGTATAATTATATTTTTAACCAATAAACATAGTCCATTTTGCTGCCAAGTGTGCAAAAGTTGGATGAAATATTTTATTTTTATTATTGTATGAAAGTAAAATTACAAGCTTTACTGCTTATAAAAGCTTGAGAATATTTTTCAGTAACTTTTGCATTTTTTACTAGCTTGCTAATATTGGTATCAATGCTGCCAATATTGGATTCAACACCCTCACCATGGAGTCTGACAAGTACATTTGTGTACGTGAGAAGGTTGGAGATTCTGCTCAGGTCGTCATCATCGATACAAACAACCCAACAAATCCCATTCGAAGGCCCATTTCTGCTGATTCAGCCATCATGAATCCTGCTTCTAAGGTTATTGCCTTAAAAGGTGTGCTTTTGGTTCATTTACATACAAGTTTATCAAGTGTTGTAGGGGTTTGTATTTTCCTGACATAAACATTTAAAGTTTGTGGATAGTTTCGATAATTAAATTTATATTATGAAAATGTTTGTTTTTTTAATACAAGTTAAAAAAAGAATATCTTTAAGTAAATAATTTGATACAAGGTTACAGTGAATGATGAATATTTGGCTGAAGTGTTTGTATTAGGTCACAATGTGGTTCCTTGAAGTTGAATTCTTATATTACAGCCATGAGAACTCTTCAAATATTTAACATTGAAATGAAGAGTAAGATGAAAGCCCATACCATGAATGAAGATGTTATATTTTGGAAGTGGATCAGTTTAAACACAGTTGCCTTAGTGACAGAAACAGCTGTCTTTCATTGGAGCATGGAAGGTAAATACATGTTCTGAAAAAAAAACATTTTTTTTTTTTCAGTTAACCAGCCTCTTACAGTTACAGAGAATTTGGTATGTGTTTTTACGTTTTGCCGATAATAACTCCTCTGTTTTTTAAGTTCTTGGTAGATTTGAGTTTAAAAAACCATGTTTGGAAATAGCTTATAAATTTATTTTTGTTGAACAGTTACACTTTATACATATGAAAATTATTAAAGATAATTACTTGTAAAATTAGGCGATTCCCAACCAGTGAAGATATTTGACAGACATTCCAGTTTAAGTGGTTGTCAGATAATCAATTACCGAACAGATCATAAACAACAGTGGTTATTGCTTATAGGAATCTCTGCTCAGGTGAGAAAATCTATTCATCTGTAAGTTAGCACTTTCTTTTTTTTTTTTTAATTGACTGGTGAACTTTTAAGTTTGTTTCAGCAAATACATATTAAAACAACATACAAGTATTTACATAAGTAGTCCAAAATAATTTTGGGAATCTGGATGGCTATATATACATACACACACACACACTTCAAGGCTCGAATTTTTATTTTCAGTTTGATCCAGTCACGTTGCATGTTGACCGATAGTTTTGGTGGTTGAATGTCATTTTTAAAAATTTGTATGTACATCCTTGAAACTCATTTTATCTTGTGTCCATTTTTTATGTAGCACTATTTTCTTTAAGAGAGTGTGTGTGTTACATAATTAGAAAGTAATGTAAAAAAGTAAAACAAAATAACACATTTTCTTCAAGACGTTTACTCTCACATGTAACTGATCATCATTGCCCCTTATTTTTATTTTGGCTTGGTCAGGTGGATAAGGGAGCATGACAAGCAATCTAAGGGTCGTGGTTTCCAAATCTCCATCCCACCAAACATGCTCATCTTTTCAGCTGTTGGCGCATTGTAATGTGGCAGTCAATCCCACTATTTGTTGGTAAAAGTAGCCCAAGAGTTGGCAGTGGGTGGTGATGACTAGCTGCCTTCCCTTTTGTCTTTCACCGCTAAATTAGGGTTGACTAGTACAGATAGCCCTCGTATAGCTTTGCGCAAAATTAAGACCAACCCCCCTTTTTTTTTCCAAATGACTCACTGTATCAATATGGATATTCATAAAAAGTTTCACTTTATTCGCGAGTTTCTTAATTTCCATCATCATTAAATATTTGCAGCATTCATTTCACTTGCTGGTGCATTTGTTGTATGTCTGTCTCTTGTCCATAATACCTTACCATCTAGTTATATGGGGAAGGTTTCAATATTTAGGAACAAGCTACCGAGCTGGGGCTTTTTTATAGTTTATTTAGATGTTCTTTTGTGCATGTTAAGTTGTCTGTTTTAAAGCTACAGAAATTTTCTTTGATGAGAAGATATCAAATATGCTAAGGTTTAGTGAAGCTTGCAAGCAACAGCAAAATATTTTGATGACTCAAACAACACATGTAAATAAGTTGGTTGACTGGCTTCTTAGTTATTTCTAATTAAAATTGTAATATATTTTAAATAAATACATTTTTACCGTTATCTGTAACAATAGAGTATTTTTTTCATTACTTGATTTATACGAGAGCAATGGGGATTACTGCTTTTTCAAACAAACAAACAAATTGGTGATATCGTGACCCCCCATGGTTGTTTTGACGTTAGCAATTCTCCAAGTAGGAAGTGTTGAGATTATATTTTTTTAAAAAGTGTGAGAAACGTTTTTGTCAATTTTTTTTTTTTTTTCAAAATGTTTTTATTCACGCAAGACGTGCAAATGGCAACTGCCAGAGGAAACATTTTTGATGTCTTAAGATAAAATTGTTGAAAGTTTTACAGTAAGCGACACTGTCTGTTAATCATATTATGTTATTGTTAGGACCAAAATTTACAGGTAATGTGCTTGTATATCAGCTGTATCACGATTGTTGACAGCTTTAGAACAACTCAGAAATTGATTTTTTTTCACCCCTGGGAAATACTTGGGACATTCAATGTATGTTCAGATCTAAAATTCGATTGGTTGATAAAGTAAATATTGTATGTGATTCTGTCTGCTGTCCAATCAATGTGTCGAATTATTGGGATTCTGTGTTAAGTCACAGTTCAAAAAGCCACAGAAATTACTGTCAAAATAATGTGCATCAACGGTTGATTATCAATAAGCAGCTCATGTTTTTCGTTATAAATAACCACGTATTTCTTGACTGACAAAGGTTGCTGATCACTTGAGGCTCTGAGTAGGAGATGACAAAAAAACACAACCTATGATTGTCAGCTGTCAGATTCAAGCCTTGCACGTGTGTGTGTGTGTGTACATTTGGTACAAAGTTTTGTTGTATTGTGAATATTTATTTATGTGCTTGATTCATGGCTCATATGAAATTGTCCATTATTGTTTTGTCTTCTGATCTCAGTAGAAAATAAAACTAATGATTGTAATATATATATATACTGTAGTTGCATTATCCCTCTGTTTCTAGTTTTGGAAGCTCTAATAAGCAGTAGGCATAACACACTGAATGTATATTCTAAAGTTACTTAACTTTCTATTTCTATTGTTATTGGTGGATTTGTTAGAACTTATTATGAATATGTGGTATAGTTTGTCATCTTTTGATGAGGAAGCCTCTATTTCCAACTATATAAAAATTATTGATGAGAAAATTCATTCCCTTTAAGCAATAAATGTTAGGCTTAGCAAGTAACAGTTTAATAAAAGTTTTTAATATGTTTTGCCACTGACTTACTCTTTGCCCCATAGTCTCGTAAACACGTTGTTAAGATTCTAAATGATTTTGATGTTTTCTTGGATTGTTGTGATTCTTTGTTTAATTACTTGGCTATTATTTCATTTTCTTGTTATATTTACTGAACAAGTACATTACATTACTAATTGACAATTTTATGTTTCAAATTTTGTTATGATTAGCAAAACAGGGTAATAGGAGCAATGCAGTTGTATTCAGTTGAAAGAAAAGTAAGTCAACCAATTGAAGGCCATGCAGCTGCTTTTGCTCAGTTCAAAATGGAAGGGAATCCTGAACAGTCAACTCTTTTCTCATTTGCAGTCAGGTCAGCTCAGGGAGGAAAGGTGTGTACTTGATGATAAATACTTTTGTCTGTGGGGGATTTTTATTTCCTTGATATATGTATCTTTGTGAGCTCTTATGTCATGAATTTTATTTGTTAGCTTTTTAGCTAATGTAGTTAAAAACTGGTGGTGTCAATTTTCCAAGAGTGTCATTTTTTTTTTAAATTTTTGTCTCAACACGAAAATTTGTGAACCAGCTGCAGACACCTATTTAGGCTTAAGGATATCCACAAATAGAAGGAAATTGATGGAAAACTGGAAATAATGTACTTTTCATTTGTATGTCAGCATTTCTGATATCTAGTGCAGGCACTTGTGGCCACCAACAGAAGTGAACAATGATATTAAACTTGACACGACATTCTTTAAATAATCTTTTGACAGAAAAATAGAGCTAACCCTTTTCATCACGTAAATATTGAATTTTGTGTGAAAGTTAGGTTTATGTACGTATCCGTTATGACTTAATGTTGACTAATAATGGAAAAATAATCTTTTGACAGAAAAATAGAGCTAACCCTTTTCATCACGTAAATATTGAATTTTGTGTGAAAGTTAGGTTTATGTACGTATCCGTTATGACTTAATGTTGACTAATAATGGAAAATAGTTGTTTACTTTTAGTTCTGTTGTAATGTTTGTTTTACAAGTAAAGAAAAAAAACTTTTCAAAAAGGGAAGTAATTGTAGGGATGGATAATATCACTCCTTCAAAAACAATGCAAACAAGATAGTAGAGATGGCATTTGAAGGTCAAGGTCAGTTTTATTGGAGGGACTTAAATATACAGTATAACATTAATTAGGGAATAGGTGTTCCATAAACACAACTCACATTTGTTGTTTAGGTAGCATCTGAAAAAAACTTTTGAGTTGGCACACAAATTCAAAGTTAGTGAGATTTCCAGACACACAACGTTTTTTTTTTTGCCTTGTTATTATTTAAAATTGATAATACTAAAAGTTATTTTTACCATTAAAATTATATTATTATTTTTTTTTACTGTAAAAAGGTTTTTAGCATTCTTGACAACTTGAAAACTATTCAATTGTAGAATGAGCCACTCATTCTTTAAAGTGGTTTAAATCAGATTAGGTTGTTTTTTTTTTGCTTACAAACATTCTATATTAAAAGATATCTGACTAACAATGCTGAGAGTAGAAGGGGAACAGATTAATATGTTAAGAAGGTATCTTGTAAGCTTTCTCATGATACTTAGCCACTTCGGGTTAATTCTGAGGGCGAAAGTGTCATATCACACATTTCTGATCTTGCTTACACATTCTAGAAAGATAGTGATTAAACCCTAGTTTATAGTTGGTCACATCTTCATGTTTAAAGGAAGATGACAGGTCTACTAGGTTTTCTTAAGGTTTGTTTTACAGTTGAAGGTTTATGTAAATGTTCAAACATTTACACACAATGTTTAAGCTAAACGTGTAATAAATGTAGAATGGTGTAATATTAAACATCATATTTACAATATTAGTATGCTCCTTGTGGAAGTGTAAAGTAACAAATACATTGCTGAACTGAATGCATTTTTTTTTTCCTTTGCTTTGACATTTTTTTAATATCTTTATAACTCTCACCTTTACCATTTTTGAATATAATTTGACCAAATAATATTTGGTTTATAAACTTGTATGTTTTCTTAATTAACTTCTAGCTTCATATAATTGAAGTTGGTCAACCCCCAGCAGGGAATCAGCCTTATTCAAAGAAAGCCGTTGATGTCTTTTTCCCTCCAGAAGCTCAGAATGACTTTCCTGTAGCCATGCAAGTAGGTTTTCAGAATATTTTCTAACAATAAGTGGTAGATTTTGAGTATTTGTTTCTTGAAAGTTTTGGTGTGGTTGAAGCACAGATAAAGTTTGCCTTTGATCAATGTTATTGATAAGTTCTCAAAAAATTTTCCAAAAGTTATGTAAGCAAAATGTAGTGGTTTATTTTGTTATAATTGTATGGCTTTAATACTTTTGCTATGGGCATCTATTTCTGCACGTCACGAAGTTTAAGTGAGTTACATTCAAAATTTAATTAAACTACCTTCTTAGTATAGTTTACGACTAAACTAGGCATAAAAATGTAGCTAACAATTCAAATGTTAATATTATATAAGTCTTAAGTTCTTAATTTTATAAAGCAATATTTAAAAAACTCAACTTTCCCCTAGTATGAGAATTGTGACATTTGCTCTCTAGGTATCCCCTCTTCTCTAATTTATTTAACACCCCTCCGAGAAGTACACAATTTAACATAAATTACTCATTATAATGTTGTCATTGCTCAGACAGAGCATAATTTTTATAGCCTTCAATCTTGTTTGGTTACAGAGACATAAACTAGAAAATCAGAACCCTCTTGCTATGCCCACCTGTCATATTCTCTCTATCACAAATTGCCAATAGTTCTCTATGGCATTTAATACTATATTACTTATAACCAATAGAAAGCCAAGGTTTTAATCTATCAAATGACTTATTGTATTACACTGGTTTTTGTACATATAATTGTCTATTTTGCTTCCAGTTCAAACTTTATTCTCTCAGGTGAATTTTTAATGGCTCTTGTTGCATAGTTAGAAAGCCAGAAAAATTGTGATAGTTATGGGACATTGTCTGCATTTTGCGTGTTATTATTCTGTGTTCTTTGGAGCATTATTTAGTGCAGTAGTGCCATTAGCATAAAGTAGGGTTTAATTTTATTAACAGCATAAAAGTAAGTAAGTACTTTATTTGATGTTCTTCATTTGTATTCTTTGTTTATTATTATTATTATGAAAGTAACTAAAATGTAAAAATTATAAAATTTTTAGGTTAGATTTTTAGAAGTTAGTCATTTACAGACAATTCTTTTGAGGATATCTTATTACATGAAACCTTTTAATAAAATATTGAAATATTATACAGTGAACAAATTTAACTGTAATTTGAGACAACCAAAAATTCGTAAAATTTATTGTCTGGGGTTGTCCATTGGACAACCAAATTGTTTCAGTATTCAAAGCTGTACATACTGCCTTGCACAAACATTTCAGCGTTGAACCTGGGAGATGCAATGGAACACAAGCAATGCAACAATATTATCAATGAAATGATGATTCCTGTGTTATTTTCATGTTTGCCCCTGCCATCTCAATTCAACTTCTGAACATACACATACAATGATCTGCATTCTTGAGGCATGCAATGCACATCATGAGTCCAGATTGGCACAGAAACTTCCAGAAATACTCTACCTTTATCTGCACACACTGTACTACAAGGCTCAGTTCACAGCCTGTCTTCCAAGGTACCTGTAATTGTGCATGGAAATCATCCCCCCCCCCCCCAAATGTGTGCACACCTTGGAAGAAGTCTCCACATTAGTAACATCCCTATTCAAAATGCAACTTGCCATGTGCGATAGTTCAACCAATCACAACCGACAATTGCTCTGCTTACCATGTGATAAGTGTTCTTGGGTGAAATATGTTAATATGGCTGCTGAGAAGGTGTGTCTCCCTTATTGAGATGTGCAGCTTATTTTGGTACAAAATAATTGCTACTGTGGCAAATCTGTTCGTCTTGCGGTAGCGATTAGCAAAAGCCTTGCGTTAATCTCTGTCCTATAAGAATAGTATGATAGGAATTGATGCAACATTCATGAAAATATAAATGAGCAAAACAACAGTTTTTTTTTTTTTGCAAAGCTTGTTTATTGTGTACATTAGGTGTGAGGTACCCTTGTTAAAGTATTGGTTACGATAGTAGGGAAGTAAATTCTCCAAACGCTCTGTACACAACATTCAGCAAGTTTGTTATTGCGTTATTTTTGCTGTCGAATCTTTGAGGGATTCTGGTGGCTATCCTGCTACCATATCCCACCATTTACCTGAGCTGGCTTGTTTATGGTAATTATTCAAATTGTCGAAACAAAACGGAACATTTGTATCAATGTTTTGTTGTTGTTTTTCGTAAGGGAATGTTGATGAAGGTTTTATGGTATTTCTGAGGTGTAGGCCCAAGCTGTTTGGTGAGGCATGAGTGAGTACACAGTGTTGTGTCAACAATGTCAAGGTAAAATGTCTAGAAGGTACTGCAAATATGAAGTTACAAATTGCTCTGTTTATGTTCTAATCTGATATCGTTGCTATATGACCATCTCAGCAAGCATTTAAAACTTGGAATAGGTTTTTTATACGGGATAGCCTGGTTAATATTCGGACAACTATTCAAAATATTTTAAATTTGTTCATTGACATAGATGTGATTTTAACATGAAATATGGATGTGATCATAACAGAATGACAACCAGTGGGTCAGCAATAAGTTCACGGACTTGCAACGCTAAAGTTCAGGGTTTGATTTCACGTGGTGGACAAAGCACAGATGGTCCATTGTGTAGCTTGTAAACAAACTAATTGTATTGAAAAATATGAATGTGATTATGTAATTATATTTTATTAATTTATGACAATCCTAGCGAGATGTATAAATTATAAGAAACTTCCCTTGTTTTTATTTTTTACAGATTAGTCCGAAGCATGATGTAATTTATCTCATTACTAAGTATGGCTACATACACCTGTATGACATAGAAAGCGGTATTTGTATCTACATGAACCGCATCAGTGCTGATACCATTTTTGTCACGGCCCCTCACGAACCTTCATCTGGAATAATTGGTGTTAACAGGAAAGGCCAAGTAAGAATTGTGTATCTCATTAACTTTTTATGGTATACGTATGTCGTTGAATTTTCTTATTACGTAAGCTCGTGTTTGAATACACATCCAACTTTTTTTTTGTCATGAATAGAAATGACATAATGACACGAGAAAAAAGATGTTTGAAACAATTAACATCACTTAAATGTTCAGAACTTGTTTAAGCATTCACATTTGTTGGTTATCTTCATTACTAAACAGTACTTAATTAACAAACACTTTTTTCTTTAATATAAAGGTCCTGTCAGTCAGTGTGGAGGAAGAAAACATTATTTCATACATCACTAATGTCTTACAAAACCCAGATCTTGCATTACGAATGGCTGTCAGGAACAACCTTGCTGGGGCAGAAGACCTGTTTGTCAGGAAATTCAACACGTTGTTCGGGAGTGGACAATATTCCGAAGCTGCAAAAGTTGCTGCTAATGCTCCAAAGGTGCGCGTGATATTCTGTGGATGATAAACCTAGTGGATAAAAATGTATTATCTTTTATGTTTGATGAAAAATGGTAGAAAATTGTAAGCATCTTTAGTGTTTGCACCAGTGCTTTTTCATATTTTAACATCTGGAACCTTGAAAATTGTTTAATAATGTGCCTCGGGGATGCAGACTAAAACTACCTTCATGTTGCTTTTTTGATCCTGTTCGCCGTCTGATAGTTTCAATAAAATGTAGATATTTGGTGTGCGTTTTGATTTCAGTTGACACCAAAAAATCCTTCGTGTTTCATGTGATGTTGTGGGCAGAAATGTTTTGTCTCATTTTATGGAATTCATCACGCAGCAACTTGTATGGGGTATAATTTATTTTCAAAATCATGCAAACTTCGACGAGGAGGACCTCGTGTCAGGAAAACATTGTGGCCGTACCAATGCTGTGTGTATGAAACATTCAAAGTTACTATAGTTAACAAGTAATTAATGAAAATTTCCGAATATTCTGATGTTTTTGGGTAAAAATAAAAGGGGATTCCATTTTTTCAAGTGGTTGGGTTTTATGGACTTGAAATGTTCAAGCATTAGTACAAGTAATAAGACTTGTATTTTGGGAACATCTTGTAATTAAAGTTCTAAATACAATTGTAAACTGAATATATAAACATCTTCTACGTTGCTCTGTACCGTAAGTATTAAACAAGACATCTTATGACTTGTGTAATGTTAGGGTATATTGCTCTGTACTGTAAGTATTAAACAAGACATTTTACGACTTGTGTAATGTTAGGGTATATTGCTCTGTACTGTAAGTATTAAACAAGACATTTTACGACTTGTGTAATGTTAGGGTATATTGCTTTGTACCGTAAATATTAAACAAGACATTTTACGACTTGTGTAATGCTAGGGTATATTGCTTTGTACCGTAAATATTAAACAAGACATTTTACGACTTGTGTAATGCTAGGGTATATTCTCTGTACCGTAAGTATTAAACAAGACATCTTATGACTTGTGTTATTTTAAAGTATATTGCTCTGTACTGTAAGTATTAAAACAGACATCTTATGACTTGTGTAATGCTAGGGTATATTGCGTACGCCTCAAACGATCCAACGGTTCCAGCAAGTTCCTACGCAGCCTGGTCAGACATCGCCTCTTCTTCAATATTTTGGAATCCTTCTGGACCAAGGCCAGTTGAACAAGTTTGAATCCCTAGAACTGTGTCGCCCAGTCTTACAGCAAGGAAGAAAGCAACTCTTGGAAAAGTGGTTGAAAGATGACAAGGTATCTTCAGTATTTGTTGCTAATTTTGAATCTAATATGTTGAATGCAGTGCTGTACTTTAATTTCTTATTTGTTGGACATTTTTGAGTGAATTTTGTATTAAATTGGTTTACAAACTTTGTTTGATATTTATAGATACGTGTTTTTTTCAGGATATTATTTCTTTTAAATAGAATATTTTCATCACAGAGAGACTAAACTGACTTTTTAAGCTAAGTCACATACAAAATTGATATATCAAAATACATCTATTTACAATGACACACATTTTGAAACAAAAACTAAATATTTGAACTTTATATTTGATTCTCCATTGCAAAATTATGTATTTTATTCATATGTATACGCGGGAATGTAGCGAAGAATTGGGAGACTTGGTGAAGCAAGTAGATCCAACTCTGGCTCTTTCTGTGTACTTAAGAGCAAATGTTCCAAACAAGGTAGGTGTTGCAATGTTTTTACTATTTTATGTTACGTTCTTTGGTTTCCCTTTCTTTTTTAAGCCTTTATCATCCACAGGAGGTTTTTTTTTTCACCCATTACCGTAACTGGCGTAATTGTACGGGTGAAGATGATAAAGGGTTAAAATAAAGCCTTCATGAAAATGATAAGTGACCAGACACAGTTGTGATGAAAGAATGTATACAGTGAAAAAAAAAGTTACATTCTCACAATAAAAATTCACCAGTCTTCCAGCAAAAGAAAAAAATGTGTACAATACAAGTTAACCAGAAAAAAAAGAGTAATAATGCTGTGCATGTTTCTCTTTGAAGCTACTATGTGGCCCCCCGAGTACAAAAATCATAACCTGGGACTTAAATATTAATACAGTAAGCAAAAGTAAGTGGAGACATAGTTGAGTATAAAGTCCTGCGAGAGTATTTTTTGTTGTTTACAGAACTTAAGTGCTTTTTTTTTTAACAATATGTCGAAGACTATTGTCTCTACTGGATTCTACTTTAAGCATTTTATTCAGTGACAGCTTAAACCATGTTTTGTGTTCTAGTCGTGTCTTTCTGCTACATGGATTCATTTGGAAAGGGTCAAGATGTTTGTTATAATGATATTAATTATGAGAACAGTAGTAAAGTTGTACCAATATCATACTTGTGAATGGAATCCTTTTTTGATTATTCTGTAGTTTATGCTAGAGAAGTAAGGTGTAAGCTAATATTTTTATTAATTATTTTCCTTTTCACTTTTTTCTCTGTGTACATTATGTGCATTTAGCCAATAATATTTTTGTTTATGTAGACATTGAAAAATGTTTTTTGTTGGTTAGCCAATAAACAAGTTTTTTGGTTATGGAGACATTGAACAATGTTTTTTGTTTGTTTGCCAATAAATAAGTTTTTGTTTATGGAGACATTGAACAATGTTTTTTGTTTGTTAGCCAATAATATTTTTGTTTGTGGAGACATTGAACAATGTTTTTTGTTTGTTAGCCAATACGTTGTTTGGTTATGGAGACATTGAACAATGTTTTTTGTTTGTTATCCAATAAGTTCTTTGGTTATGGAGACATTGAACAATGTTTTTTGTTTGTTAGCCAATAAGTTTTTTGGTTATGGAGACATTGAACAATGTTTTGTGTTTGTTAGCCAATAAGTTTTTGGTTATGGAGACATTGAACAATGTTTTTGTTTTGTTTTTTCCAGTAAAAAAAAAAGATAAAGTATGATAATTTTCTAATGATACAAATGAATAAGTTTATATATCTGAAATTCACTTGATAGTCTCTAACAGTGTAAAGGTTGCTCTCCGAGACATGATTCCAAAGTATTTCTTGCACACAAAATCAGAAGTATGTTATGTTTTCTGTTTGAAGTGATGAAGTGTGTTGGTTGTGTTAATAAAACTCCATCTTTATATTATTTACCTTGGAAGTAAATACAGAAGCAGGAACTTCTTTAACATAAAAACTAATTTATTGGTGGAATTAAGGAGATTCTAGAAAATGTAAACGTCCATTAACTTTTTCCAGGCCAGGTTCACTATCATGCCTCTTTTATATTTTTATTAGTAAGCACTAATGACTCATAAATGTCACCAAAGCTGAAACTCAGACTTTTCAAATACGTGACGTGTATGACACCTTTTTTAAGGAGACCCTACAGCAAACTGATTGCAAGAAAGAAAATAATCCCTGCGGTCTGGTGGTATATTTATGATTTCAGCATAGTCAGAAACAAGGTTATAAAAATAACCTGCAGATAGTTGATTTTTACAAATATTCACTGTTTTTAAACTGTTTTAGCCAAAAATAAGCTTCAAGGACCTCGAAAGTCTACCCGTTTTGAGCTTTGTTTTATCTATTGACAAGTTGTATCTGTACTGGCAAGAAATGTATTGATTTACACTATCTGAATAGACAGGTGCTAAAAATCAACAATTAGGGATAGAGTTTGGAAATTTTTTTAAATTATTTCATACGAAAGAAAAGTTATTGAAATTTGCATCAAAAGAAAATCTTGAATTTCAACATTTTTAGTTATGACTTTATTTTGGAAAAAAATGTATAGCAATATGTTAGTTATACTTTTTTAAAACAACAAGTTTAGTGATAAAAAAAATCTGAAGTTTGTGGTTTTTATCTGAGTCACTAGAAAATCTGGGATAGGTTATAAAGTGCCAGCAGCTAGGAAAAACAAGGTAGGGAAATTCAGTGTCTCGGGAGATATTAACCCTTTGAGTGCATAGTAAAATTTCTGGTGGATTTTCAAAGTGTCAATTATCCACTAACAAACGAAATTTAGAATTTGACCTTTTTTATTACTTTTTTTCAATATCAAAATCCACTAGTTGTGCTTTTGCTCCGTGATGTACGCACGTGCAGGCGGAAAATTCAAGGATGTGGGTATCTCGATTGTCGCACTATGAGGAACTGTTTTTGTGGCACCATTGGGTAAATCTGCTTGTCGCACCAAACACCTACAAGCGTCAAGTCAGATAAATCCGATTAAAGCAACTGAACGGGTTAGAGCATTGAATGTCAGGAGATATTATGACACTGAGTGTCAAGAGATATTCAAGCATTGAGTGTGGAGAATTGTATACAGCACTGAGTGTCAGGAGATATAAATAGGGATTGTTGGTTATTCATAGAATTGCTATAAGAAGTATCCAAAACAAAATAAATGCTGCAATAAAAAGTATGCAAACAAGTAAAGTGATACTAGTTGGATAAATTTTAAAACAATTTTCAATCTCTAGTTTAGTTGGCATTGTGATCCATATAGTTATATGAAGCGGTCTACTTTGGCATACAGATAAGTGTATAAAGCTGCCAAAGTAGGGATTAAATTTTGTAAATTTGTGATTGTGGTTTTAATTCTTGTTTCATTATTTTTTATTGCAGGATTTCTACTTAATTTTAAAATTTGTAATTTTTTAATACTCTCATTTATTTATTTTTATGTTATACCTGTATAAAGTATATACCTTACCTTTTAGAAACTGTTGCCTGTATCCATCAATATGTAGCGCCATCTGTTGGGTTGAATTGGGTTTAAAAGATATTTAAATACATGCATGATGTGTTTACCATTTATAAAAAAAATCTGTATGTATTCATTAAAATATCAAAAGCGGATACCCACAGACCAATCAAGTAAACTGGAGAAATCTTGTAGCGATAGTCCAAGCCGTCCAGGGCTATCCCCGCTGACGTGATCAGGTAGGTAGTAGACAAAAAAGTCGATGTTTTAGAACTTTTTGAATTGTTAAACTGGAAATGTTAGCAACCTTTTTAGCATATTATTAGGATATATGTGCATAATATATCCTAAACAATACTTTGAATGGTTGGTTTTTTGCTTAGGAATTCAATAGGGTGGTTTTTTTTTTGGTGCATTAATTATTTGGAATCCTTCCTGGTAGTTCTTAATTACACCTTTGAGTGTTGGTAATTATTACAGCACTGAGTGTCAGGAGATATTACAGTAGTTTTTAATTTGGATTTTGATTGATGTTTTTATACATTATTTAGATGTTATTTTTTATGAAGTTAAGCATTTTGTTTGTCAGTTTTCTGAGAATTTTTTGTTTTTCAGTTGTTACTTTGAAAGTATGTTCTTCTGCCCAGAATCTGTGAAATACTCATTTCCATAAATATTTAGGCAATGCCTATTTTTATTATCGATTGAAAGTTTTCTTTTTTGGTCACATGTCAAGGTAAGGATGAAACAAACATACACTGTAAGACATATATGATTGCATCAAAAAAGGTTTGCATTACTCGATAAGTGTGTGTGTCTATATGTGTATCTATGTATATATGTCTGTCCATGTAACTACTTCGCAAGGTGTGGATGGATGTTCACCAAAATTGGTATGGAGGTTCATTAGCTCCATGCGGGGGTACATACAGATTTTCAGTTTTGAAGTTTTTATGGCCATTTTTGTGTTGTTTTTTTTTTACTACCAAAAGATGGATCTTCACCAAATTTGGTATGGAGGTTCATTGGGTCCCTTGGGAAATACATGTTTCACATTTTGTGTTTTGCAGTTATTATGGGCATTTTTGTATTTTTTACAATTACATATAAGGGAAGCAACCTTTCATTAATCATGAATTTACATAACTTCTATCCAGGGGGACTGATACTCCAGCTAGTATATAAATAATGAAGGAAGTTTTGGTTGTTAATTTTGTAAGGAGGTTTTCTGTTTCTAACTGTGGAAGTGATTTATGAGTTAATTAAAACTGATGTATTTAGGTATGTACAAAGATTTAGTTTAGATTAAAAACAAAATTCACTTTTAACCTATCAGATAAACATAAGGCTCAATTTATTTTGATCTTAGGTTATCCAGTGTTTTGCAGAAACTGGCCAGTTTCAAAAAATAGTTCTTTATGCCAAAAAAGTTGGGTACACTCCAGATTACACTACTTTGCTGAGGCAGGTGATGCGAATTAATCCCGACCAGGGAGCCTCGTTTTCACAGATGCTGGTTCAAGATAATGAATCCCTTGCAGATATTAACCAAGTGAGTAATTCCACTGACAATTGTTTATTTAGAAACCTTCTTTTCACATCAGTCTTGCCATAGAAAAAGTTTGTAGATATGGTTAAAATTTGTTGCTTTGATCAATAACTTTGATATTTTTTTGTTGGCCATTTTTTAAACAATCTTTACTTCTAACTTTGCAGAAAGTTGAGAATCACATACACTATTTTTTTTTTATTATTGGTGAAGTTTTTTTTAGTCTTTGATTCCTTGGTTTTTATAAAATTCCAGATTGTAGATGTGTTCATGGAATTCAACCTTGTGCAACAGTGTACCTCGTTCCTTCTGGATGCTTTGAAAAACAACCGACCCTCCGAAGGACCCCTCCAAACTAGACTGCTAGAAATGAACCTTATGACTGCCCCACAAGTAAGTTTCACACATTATTAGTTTACATGTTTTACAGTCATAAGTTACAGGAGAATCAAATCGTACTAGCATGATTACCTTTAATTTAAAACGCGTATTAGAATATACCTTTATCAGCATTTATTTGAAAATAAAAATTACACTGTGTTTCAGGTTGCTGATGCCATTCTTGGGAATCAGATGTTCACCCATTATGATCGTTCCAACATTGCCCAGTTGTGTGAAAAAGCCGGACTCTTACAGAGGGTTTGTTTGTTTTGTTAATTTATTTATTTTTTTTTTTTTGTTCTGTACTGCAAAATTTAGTTTTCTAGCAACTATGAATAATTTAATTTAATTTATACCTCCATGGATATTACAACTGTATAAATAATACTATGATATAGAAATGGAAAAGCTTACTATACATATAAAGTAACTTATTTTGATTACATTTTTTTTTTATGCTTCTTACATTATTTTCTTCGGTGATAATGCTTGATGTTGACTTTGTGAATAGTTACGAGGTTAACATATTCTTTGTCCTCTATTGTTTCCAGAGCAGTTACTAGCACTGTAGAAACTTTACCCTGTTACTGTTGAAATTAAAAACCAAAACATGGAAAATTAGTAATTGGTTTACTCTGTCACCTACCTTTGATTTTGTAAACAACACCAATACTTCTGCTTTTATTTGATAAATTTATGATTTCTTTTGAAACAAATAAGCTGAGAAAAAAAAGCACCAAACATTTAGTGCAAACAGAAAAGACTAGGGTATAAACTTCAGATTGAAAATTGTAAAATGTACCCTTGTCAGAAAGAGTTCTGAAGAAGTAGGACCTACGTAGCAGTGGGGATACACTACTGTTTTTATGAGCAATACTTACATTGTCTTGCCTTCAGTTGTTCAGTAATTTGTTTATAGAAGAAAATGAATCAATCTTATCAGCAGTGTAGGCTGTAATTTTTATTTGTAAAATTGCTTTTGCTGTCTCTGATTTAAACTATGGTCACTAATTATAATTTATAATAAATAGGCTCTGGAACACTATACAGACCTTTATGACATCAAACGAGCTATTGTTCACACGCACCTGCTTAATCCCGAGGTGAGTATAAAAAAGCTGTTAATAAGACATTCAGTTAGGTATTGTAAAAATGTTTCAAAATTTAAAACATCTTTTTCAACTTGATGAGATCTTAAAAGTTTGTACGTAAACTACAATTTGTTTGAAACTTTTACTTTTTGATGGGGCCCGGCATGGCCAGGTGGTTAAGGCACTCGACTCGCAATCTGAGGGTCGCGGGTTCGAATCCCCTTCACCCCGAA